CTTGGTCATGTTGTAGTGAAAGGCATAAATTTCAAGCATGAGTAGCCCATCTTTTGCGTCTTTGATGAGTCAATGTGCTCTTAAATTGGTCTTCAATTTCCCTGTCCCCTAAAGGTTTTCCACATACTTGAGCACAGCCTCAAGCTGTATGTGAGGGGAGAGACGCATTGGATTGCGAGCATGAGCAGTCCATCTTCTGCGTATTTGATGCGTCAATGTGTTCATAAATTGGTCTTCAATTTTCCTCTTTAGGAGTCCCCTAAAGGTTTGCCACATACTGAGCACGGCCTTAAGTTGCGTGTGAGGGGAGAGAAGACGCACTGGGATGCGAGCATGGGTGGTCCATTTTTTGCATTTATGATGCGTCAATGTTCTCTTAGATCCGTCTTTGCTTTCTCTCTTTGGAAAAGAAAACGCACAGAATGCAGGACATTCACAACAAAGTAGAGTTGAGCATGTGGCCCGACCCGACCCGATTTGGCCGGGCCATTCGGGCCCTCGGGTCGGTTCGGGTCGGGCCGGGTTCGGGCCAGATTCCTGAAACAGCTGGCCCGACCCGGGCCTAAGAACTCGGGTCAGAGGTTACCCGAGTTCGGGTCGGGCCGGGTCGGGTCGGGTCAGGAAACCCGATTTCGCCCGTGCTCTGTGCAGATCGGCGCTTTCGTCCGCCGATATGCGCAGATCGGCGATTTCTCCCGCTGATCTGCGCGGATCGGCGATTTCTCCCGCCGATCTGCGCGGATCGGCGATTTCTCCCGCCGATCTGCGCGGATCGGCGGTTTCTCCCCCCGATCTACGCAGATCGGTGATTTTGCCCGCCGATTTTCGCAGATCGGGGCTTTCGTCCGCCGATCTGCGCAGATCGACGAGTTGGTTGGCGTAACTCTGTCAATTTCGCTGGTCGATCTGGTGGAGATTGGGAGTTTCGCCATGACACTCGTTTCCGACGAATGTGTTGGAACAAATGTTTCCAACCAATTCGCTATTGCTCACCACTCCTTACCGCATAAAATCTACCATTCCCAACCCTTCCCCTCCCACTCTTTACAAATCTCTCGACATCGAGCCTCTCCACAAAGTCGTCTTCTAACTTGTCGCATCATTCTTTGGCTGCAAACTAAGTAGTTATGGTTCCTAGGTGCCTTTGGTCGCTGGAGGAAGGATATTAGGTTTGCGGTAATGAATTGATGTCGAGGGGAAAAAAATACCCTTGAAATAGAATGTGTTACGGTTTCGGGTCCCCCCTGTGTCGAAATAGGGTCGGGTCTGACCCTACCCGATTTCCCAAATCTTGACCCGATTTCAGGTCGGGTCAAAGCTGACCCGAAACCCGACCCGACTCGGCCTGAGTCTCATGCTTGGGTCGGGTTTTGGCCCGGGTCGGGTCGGGTCGGCCCGCACGGGGCAGGCAATTGAAACCGCTGACCCGACCGAGCGGGGCAAATGCTCATCTTTACAACAAAGGCAGCATCCTAGACCGCCATGGGTAGCTAACTGGGATCAGTATGGAAGAAGCCTCACCATCTACTTGGTATTGGGGTCTGCCGCCTACCTCTGCACATTAGCCTCATGATAGGGTCTTGCAATTTCCAAGCGACAAGACACATGGGAAAGGGATGTTCTGGCTGTTCCTCATGTTCAAGTGAGAGTGAAGTTCTACGAAATCAAGCTCGTAGCGAAGGTCAAAGACCCAAAGCCACGATATATAGGCTGCCATCAGTTTGATCATACCCAAATAAAGTCATCAGACCAGCCATTCTCAAGCTGCCATCATTGTTGGTCAAATCTGAGCCATCCCTGAACTCTCCTTTTCGCTACAGAAAAGAAAACAGAATGTCTTGCCAACGCTGCTGGCCTACAGACTTTCCTTCACAAAATCAATTTGTTCAAATGCAGACAGTGAAGACATTATGCGATGGAGTATGCTGTTTTAAGCAATGTGCATGCACAGTTGTTTCAGGTCATAGTTGTATCCTGCTGTGCCTTTCCATCAACACAAACATTGTGTACTCTTTATCCTTTTCTCCTGCTTCTGAATGTGTACACATTTGCATGCTTGCCATGAGGCACAAGTTGTCTTCATTTATTTCCACTCATAATATACTTTCCTTGCTTAACCATCAGAGATCTCAGGTACAACGCTCTGAGAGGGTCTATTCCGTCCACCATCAGCAAAATGAGCAGCCTCGACGAATTGTGAGTATCGGCAAGGAATCCAGAAAGAGAGCCCTAACTGACCTTGCACAGATTCGTACATACAGGGGCCTCTGATGGTGTGATTTGAGCAACTTGTTTTGAGAACGAGCATACAAGCTATGCATGAGGAGGAGGGAGTCTGCACCAGCGCGAATGTGAATTGAGATCCACTGGGGATGGAAGGTGCCCTTGAACTGGTGGTGAGAGAATGCAGTCATTCCTCCTGTGTGACCACAGTGTTGTGAGCCGGTCCATCTCGCCACTCACAGTGGTGAGGATTTGCTGCGAATCTCTCCACATAAGCCTCACTATATGGTCCCGAAATGTCCAGGCAGTAAGATACATGGGCAAGGTTATGAGGCCCCCTAACTGAGCCTCCAGAGTTCATATTTATGGACATTGACAATAATATAAAGGGTTGGTCAATCTGTCCATTAAACATCTAGTTTCAAAATGCTAACGTTCGGCTTGCGTCTCGCCTTCCCAGTCAAGTAGATTCTCCTGCCAGAGCTGCCGGCTCAATCTGTTCGAATGCTGACTCAATTGCGAGCTGAGCAAGATCTGCACTTGTGAGCACACGCACTTATCCAACCAGCCTTAAAATCACTTTTGAGCGCACATATTCCTTCTATAGCGATGAAATCTTGCCTCTGAATTCCCAATGTGAAAGTGGGTATTCCATCTTGGAATAGCTGCTGTAGCCATAATCTCACCTTCTTATCCCTAAGCAATTAATTCCTGTTTGTCTACAGCTTTTTTGGTAGTTACACACCCTGGGAAGTTAAACATAAGTTAAACATCCTGGGAAACAATGGCCACTCGGTTCTCGGGTCAAGTCTCCGATCTGGTTAGGGGACTCCTGGGGTGACCCATCCCGGGCAAAAACCTGCGTTCGGTCAGGTCGGGTCGACCCCACCAAGCCCTTTGCTGAACTCATATTCTACCCATAAGTACTGCCTTTTGCATATTGCCTCATAGCATGTTGTTTCCGGTCCAGCCACACTCCTACGTCAACATATCATGCATTTCCTATCTCCCTCCCCATTTTTTGCCTACCTTCTACCGCCTTGGGGTTCATTCTTCAGTGAAACCTCTGGCATGTATGCACCATCAATCTTATCAGCAATGCTTTGACTGGGACTTAACCAACCTGCTGTGCCTTTCCACCAACACAAACATTGTGTACTCTATATCTTTTTTTCCTGTTTCTGAGTGTGTACACATTTGCATGTTGCCATGAGCCGCACGTTGTCTTCATTTATTTCCACCCATAATATACTTTGCTTTCTTTACCATCAGATTTCTCAGCTACAACGCTCTGAGAGGGTCTATTCCATCCACCATCGGCAAAATGAGCAGCCTCAAAAAATTGTGAGTATTGGCAAGGAATCCAGAAAGAGAGCCCTAACTGACCTCACACAGATTCGTACATGCAGGGGCCTCTGATGGTGTGATTTGAGCAACTTGTTTTGAGAACGAGCATACGAGCTATGCATGAGGAGGAGGGAGTCTGCACCAGCGCGAATGTGAATTGAGATCCACTGGGGATGGAAGGTGCCCCTGAACTGGTGGAGAGAGAATGCAGTCATTCCTCCTGTGTGACCACAGCGACCTGTCACTGTTGTGAGCCGGTCCATCTCGCCACTCACAATGGTGAGGATTTGCTGCGAATCTCTCCACATTAGCCTCACTATATGGTCCCGAAATGTCCAGGCGGTAAGATACATGGGCAAGGTTATGAGGCCCCCTAACTGAGCCTCCAGAGTTCATTTTTATGGACATTGACAATAATATAAAGGGTTCATCAATCTGTCCATAGAACATCTAGTGTCAAAATGCTAACGTTTGATTGTGCACACATCATCTGACATTTCCATTGCAGTGATGTAAGTGGAAACAATCTCACTGGCCAACTCCCTCCAACAATGGGCAATCTTACTCGTCTTTCAACCTTGTAAGGCATGCAGATTAAATTGTTGCAATGTCCATCATTGCTCGTTAAAGCGTATCACGAGGAGGAGCTATACAAGGAGCCAATGTGTTTCGCTCATATACCTGAGCTAGTACTGTTACAGCCATAAGTAGGAGGTATACAAGGTACCAAAGGTCGTGATGACTATCCCGGCTCAATCCGTTTCGGCACAACAACTGATGTTGGGTCGAGACCACGTTAAGCCATTCCCTATTGCCTAACATGCATGGAAACCAATATATGGTTTACTGGGTTTTTCTTCGAATAAAACATCTTGGCAGAGTATAGCATTGTAATGTCTCACCAAACCTTCCCTTTAGAAATCTCAAAGAGTTTCATTCAGAGCTGAAACCGGTTTCTGGTTCTTAGTTTGAGATCACCCCATGTGCACATGCAGGGACACACATTTTATGGCAATCGCATGCCCTCCTGAATACAGCAGCTGTGTGGTCAAACAGACCATTTCAAGTGCTTTCTGCCAGCAGTGTAGCCCCTTCTGCACCACCTGTGACAAGCCACAACCAGGTGAAATGCAATCACTTTATGCGGGTCGCTGCAAGTAATATTTCCTTTCTGACAACGCTCTCATTCGTGCTGAGTGCATGAACACTACACTGCCATCTACAGAACAAACTTCTGCGGTGTCACGCATCCACAACTTATACCGAAGAATACCAAAGAATACCTCGTGGCTTTTGCTGATTTGTTTTTTTTTCAACCTTTCAGAGTGTTCGTTCGCTTTCTCTCCCACATCCCTTTTCATCGATCCCACCATTATTCCCACGTGTGATAGCCTTTTTCCATTCACTATATCCATCTTCCTACTCCTTAAATGTACCTCCCATCACCAGTGCTAACACCCTCCCCATCGCCAGTGCCAACACCCTCCCCATCGCCAGTGCCAACACCCTCCCCATCGCCAGTGCCAACACCCTCCCCATCGCCAGTGCCAACACCCTCCCCATCGCCAGTGCCAACACCCTCCCCATCGCCAGTGCCAACACCCTCCCCATCGCCAGTGCCAACACCCTCCCCATCGCCAGTGCCAACACCCTCCCCATCGCCAGTGCCCACAGCCTCCCCACCTCCTCCCTCACCAACTCCTAGTAAGCCTGCAGCATCTGCTACCCAGTCTGAAGGCGGTTTATCCAACGGAGCCATTGCTGGCATTACTGCTGCTGGCGCTGTGGCTTTCCTAGTGCTGCTGCTGCTTATCTGGCTGATGTGCAAACGATACCACACCAGAGGGGCAACAGGAGGCACAGATGTGGACGGCAAAGATTTAAATGAAGAAAGTGCACTCCAAGGTAGGACCTTCAGTCTACGCTGTTCGAAATACAGCCTCCTCCCAGACCCTAAGTTAGGGATGAGCAAGGTGGCGAACACCTGTTCGGTTCGCCTCGAAAGTGTTCGACGAACACGAACAGTGTTCGAGGTTCGCCCGAACACGCCTCCACAGGCGAACAGCGAACACCTGTTTTTTCCTAAACTGTTCGCCGAACCGAACAGTGTTCGGTTCGGCAAAAGAGGGTGTTCGACAAGGGGCGAAGACGAACATGTTCCTGTTCGCCCTTTGCTCATCCCTACCCTAAGTTCGCATCCACATTCAATTCCTCATCTTTTTCTTGTCTCCTTCACCACCTCTGACATTCTTAGAACCAGATCATCTCAACGCAGCATCCAAGGCAGAGAATAGGGACCCAGAAGGAGAAGCAGCTGCTGCAGCAGCTGCGGCTGTGGCTGCAGGAGCAGCGGAATGGGTGAAGGAGAGAGACGTGGTGGTGGAGATGGAGGCAGTAAAGCCACATGTGTGCCAGAAGTTCACTCTGGAAGAGCTTGCAAGCGCAACGGGAGACTGGGCAGAGGGAAACAGGATTGGAAGCGGCAGCTTTGGAGATGTGTACAAGGGCGTGTCAGTGCATGAACCCAATGAAATGTGGGCTGTGAAGCGATCCAGGGTCCTATCCAGTGACTTCCTTACTGAGGTACAAGATGGTGCTGATGAGTCTTCTGGCCTCATACCATAAACACGTTGCAATGCTGTTATTGGACATTCTTTGTATGCCAACGCACACACAAACAGGGACACACACACATTCATTTGAACTCACATGCACATTCAGGCGCGTTTACGCGCTCGCGCGCGCGCGCGTGCACACACACACACACATGCACACATGTGCGCACACACAGCAAGATGCACACATACAAATACTCACACACACTTTGTCAAACACAGACACACACTTTCCCTCTTGCCCTCTTCCTTTTCGATTTTCCCCAATATCGCATGTGATGTATTTGGCACTTGGATTTTGCTGTTGTGTTTTTTCAGATATCATTACAGTACCATTCTTGTACATGCATGCATACACCATTTAAACACATTCACTTCACTCTCTTACTCTTGCCTACTCCCTTTTTGTTTTTCCTCTCCCATCTTGCAGGTGAAGGAGATGGCCAGTAAGCACCACCCCAACCTGGTGCGGCTGTTGGGCTTCTGTGTGCACTATGATTCCAGCACGGGCCAGATTGAGCAAGTGCTCGTGTATGAGTTCATGGCCAACCGGGACTTGGAGAGCTGGATTGGATCAGGTAATAAAACTTCACTTGTCTATGATGGATGTCTTATTATGCTCTTTGATAGCCACTTTCTTGGAGTAGTTTCTGAGTGTGACGTGACTTCAAAGATTGGAAGGTTTGAGTGGCCCATGTACCCTGCACTTGCCGTGCCGCATACCTTGTATCATGCCTTGCAAACCCTTTCTTCAGATTACAATGTCCATTCCTTAGGGACAAGCAATTCAATAACATTCCCATTGGAACCAATTCTTCCATTACACCTTCCTAGGAGCTCCAAGTCATCTCTCTCTGTTGCAACGACTGGATGTTTTGATTGGAGTGGCCAAGGGGTTGCAATATCTTCATGACTTCGGCATTGTGCATCGCGACATCAAACCAGCCAACATTCTGCTTGATGCAAAAATGCATGTACGTCTAACTATGTTTTCTCCTTGCATTTTGTATGACAAGTCACCAACCTAACATTTTGTTTTTTCTTTTACTAGCATGTCTTGACATGTTGAAAGCACTTGGTGCAATTGCCTATCTTAATTTTGCGTACAAACTGTTGTTCAGGCCAAGATTGCAGACTTTGGTTTGGTAAAGCTCACTGGAGGCACCGCTATGGGCACGTCTGTGGCTGCCACTCGAGTGATGGGGACTCCGGGCTATGTGGACCCTGCCTATTACAAGTCCCACAAGGCCACTTCAGCAGCAGATGTGTACAGGTGAGCGGGTGAAGATATTTCTTTCGAGTTGAGTAAGAAACCAACTGTGGCTACCACTTGAGTGATTGGAACACTCCAGCAGCAGGTGTGAGCATAGAAATGTATTTTTCTTCCATTTGTGATGTGGGTAGGGCATAGAAATGCTCCTCTGAAATGTCTCACATTAATCTCCATTCTCCTGTCCCTCTTTCTGATTGGTCTTAACAGCTTTGGTGTGGTGATGCTGGTTGTCATCTCGGCACGCAAGGCTGTGCATATGAGCGAGACCAGCCAGATCAGTCTGAAGCAATGGGTGAGCACAGATGCTTGCTACAGACTTGTCTGAATATTTTATGCAAAAACTGCACAACTACTGCTCAATACTCCACTCATAAGTATGTAGTTCACTGAACAATCACGCATATGTCCACATGGCTCAACCCAACAGATCACACCATTCGTGGAGTCAGATGCCGTTACAGTCTTCAAGGACCCCTACTTGGACGCACCAGATGACTTGGTGCTGCGCTGGGCTCGCCTTGCCCTCTCCTGCACCACCATGCCTGCGGCCTCCCGCCCCTCCATGAATCAAGTGCTGGGGGAGCTGGTGAAGTTGAAGCAGGAAGCTTCTGGAGCACATGAGAGCCATGTGGGCGAGGCCAAATCTCGCTTGGACACGGAGCTTGGGAGTTCCATTGGCTCCTCCAGCTTCACTGCTGAAATGGCCCGTGCGGAGCGAGGGGACATGCCAAGTGGCTTTTCCACATAATCAAGTTTGTCTTCACGTGCACCTTGCTAGATTACCCAGAGCTTCTGGTTTGTGCCATACCAAAACATATGGTATATGGGGAAATATGGCCTGTTGAACAGATAAATGGAATGGATGCTGGTAGAATCTTTGGTGATCAGGTAAATGGAACGAGAAAATTGGCCTTCGTACATAAAAAGTGGGAGCTACAGCTTTGGCTTGTGCATGGGCACATATTTTGTGCTAATGACATATTTTGAATGTTGCATACATAATATTTGCCACTAGAATAGCTCTATTCATAACGAATATGGGTTTCTCAAATGGAAATCATAAGCCATTTTGTGGCAGCAACAAGCGTTCTACTCGTAATGAAGTACACTACATGATATAGCAACTCTTTCTCCATCCCACATATCTAACATGCAAACATCACATCCTCCCTCCAGGCAGTATCCACCTCTTTTCAGTGGGTTGTCATCTGTAACACGTGGGCAAGAAAGGGTTTGATTTGATCCCTTCATGGCGCTATCATTTGCAATGATATGTCAGATGCTGTAGGGCAAGAGCCGTATGGGAGGGATGAATCGGGGTTGGGAAGTGTGATATGACTTGTTAAGACGATGATGAGCAGTGCGCTGAGCAGATACTTCATGAACCCCATGGCTGACTCATCCACCCATGGCTGACTGACCAACCCATGGCAAACTGACTGACCCATGGCTAACTGACTGACCCATGGCTGACTGACTGACCCATGGCTGATTGACTGACCCATCGCTAACTGACTCACCCGGCTGACTGACTGAACCGTGACTGACTGACTGACCCATGGTTGACTCACTGACCCATGGCTGACTGACCGACCTGTGGCTGACTGACTGCCCCTGGCTGATTGACTGACCCATGGCTGATTGACTGACCCAAGGCTAATTGACTGACCCAAGGCTGATTGACTGACCCAAGGCTGATTGACTGACCCATGGCTGATTGACTGACCCATGGCTGATTGACTGACCCATGGCTGATTGACTGACCCATGGCTGATTGACTGACCCATGGCTGATTGACTGACCCAAGGCTGATTGACTGACCCAAGGCTGATTGACCCATGGCTGACCGACCGACCCATGGGATGACTGACCACAACCTGATGACTGCAACCGCCTTGTTGACAGGATCCTGTCCAAAACAAAACGCCGGACTTATCCACTCTGAGACGAAGCCCGATGCTGGAAGGAGTGGCTGCGCTTAAACCCCACTTGACGAGAAGAGCCATCAAGCTGAACCGCCTGCTCAGCCTTGCATACTGAAAGACGCCTTGAAGGAGGGCTTAAAACACGTCCGTGAGCTGCCCTTGTTGAAGCCATGCCTGTGCTCTCACCCCTTCTTGCTGTGAGCTGCCCTTGTTGAAGCCATGCCTGTGCTCTCACCCCTTCTTGCCGTGAGCTGCCCTTGTTGAAGCCATGCCTGTGCTCTCACCCCTTCTTGCCGTGAGCTGCCCTTGTTGAAGCCATGCCTGTGCTCTCACCCCTTCTTGCCGTGAGCTGCCCTTGTTGAAGCCATGCCTGTGCTCTCACCCCTTCTTGCTGTGAGCTGCCCTTGTTGAAGCCATGCCTGTGCTCTCACCCCTTCTTGCCGTGAGCTGCCCTTGTTGAAGCCATGCCTGTGCTCTCACCCCTTCTTGCCGTGAGCTGCCCTTGTTGAAGCCATGCCTGTGCTCTCACCCCCTCTTGCCGTGAGCTGCCCTTGTTGAAGCCATGCCTGTGCTCTCACCCCTTCTTGCCGTGAGCTGCCCTTGTTGAAGCCATGCCTGTGCTCTCACCCCTTCTTGCCGTGAGCTGCCCTTGTTGAAGCCATGCCTGTGCTCTCACCCCTTCTTGCCGTGAGCTGCCCTTGTTGAAGCCATGCCTGTGCTCTCACCCCTTCTTGCCGTGAGCTGCCCTTGTTGAAGCCATGCCTGTGCTCTCACCCCTTCTTGCCGTGAGCTGCCCTTGTTGAAGCCATGCCTGTGCTCTCACCCCTTCTTGCCGTGAGCTGCCCTTGTTGAAGCCATGCCTGTGCTCTCACCCCTTCTTGCCGTGAGCTGCCCTTGTTGAAGCCATGCCTGTGCTCTCACCCCCTCTTGCCGTGAGCTGCCCTTGTTGAAGCCATGCCTGTGCTCTCACCCCTTCTTGCCGTGAGCTGCCCTTGTTGAAGCCATGCCTGTGCTCTCACCCCTTCTTGCCGTGAGCTGCCCTTGTTGAAGCCATGCCTGTGCTCTCACCCCTTCTTGCCGTGAGCTGCCCTTGTTGAAGCCATGCCTGTGCCCTCACCCCTTATTGCCGTGAGCTGCCCTTGTTGAAGCCATGCCTGTGCTCTCACCCCTTCTTGCCGTGAGCTGCCCTTGTTGAAGCCATGCCTGTGCTCTCACCCCTTCTTGCCATGAGCTGCCCTTGTTGAAGCCATGCCTGTGCTCTCACCCCTTCTTGCCGTGAGCTGCCCTTGTTGAAGCCATGCCTGTGCTCTCACCCCACCTTGCTGAAACCGTACCTACCCACCCATCTCACTATATGACTCTCCCAGCCTGACCACAACCATTCGTCTGTGGCTGACTGCTGCAAGCTGGCTGGCTGGCAGGGCGGGCTGGCTGACCAGAACCTTTTTTCTGCGGCTGGCTGCTGCAAGGGGGCTGTTTCATCAACTTGGCTTGTCAAGTACGTTTTCAGCGCAGCTGGCTTGTGAATTCGACCATCAATGCAGCAGCCTGGCCTTTTGTTTTTTATAAGGATCATGGCGGACATTCGGTCAGTTAGTCAGCCATGGGTCAGTCAATCAGCAATGAGTCAGTCAATCAGCCATAAGTCAGTCAGTCAGTCAGTCAGCCATTGATAAGTCATGGGTCAGTCAGGAGTCAGCCATAATCAGGTGGCCATGGGTCAGTCAGTCAGACATGCGTCAGTCAATCATACATGGGTCAGTCAGTCAGCCATGAGTCAGTCAGTCAGCCATAGGTCAATCAGTCAGGCATCGATCATTCAATCAGCCATGGGTCAGTCAGTCAGCCATGGGTCAGGCAGTCATGGGTCAATCCGTGAGGCATCGGTCGGTTTGTCATGTGTCAGTCAATCAGCAGCCATGGTTCAGTCAGTCAACCATGGGTCAAACAGTCAGCCATAGATCAGTCAGTCATAAGTCAGTCAATCAGCCATGGTTCATTCAGTCAACCACTGGTTAGTCAGTCAGCGTCAGCCATGGGTCAGTCAGTCAGCCATGGTTCAGTCAGTCAGCTATGGGTCAGTCAGTCAGCGTCAGCCATAGGTCAGTCAGTCAGCATTCGGTCAGTCAGTCAGCCAGAAAATCAGCCAGTCATGGGTCAGTAAGTCAGCCATCGGTTAGTCAATCAGCCATGGGTCAGTCAGTCAGCCATTGGTAAGTCATGGGTCAGTCAGTCAGCCATAGATCCGTCAGTCATGGATCAGTCAGTCAGCCATGGGTCAGTCATTCAGCCACAGGTCAGTCAGTTAGTCATAAGTCAGTCAGTCAACCATGGGTCAGTCAGTCGTCAGCCATCGGTCAGTCAGTCATGGATCAGTCAGTCAGCCATGGGTCAGCCAGTCAGCCATTGGTAAGTCTGTCATGGGTCAGTCAGTCAGCCACGGGTCAGTCAGTCAGCCATTGGTAAGTCTGTCATGGGTCAGTCAGTCAGCCATGGGTCAGTCAGTCAGCCATCGGTCTCAGAGTTTGTGGCGGTGTCGCGGAGAGAGGCGCGGGGGCTGCTGCAGGCGCTCACGCAGCAGCTGGTGGCTCGCATGGAGGCTGTCGCTCGTGGGGCTCCACCTGGCGCTCCTCTATTACTGAATGGGGCAGCGGCGCTGCCTAGAGCAACAGCAGTACCTCGAGCAGTGACCACAGCAGCAGAAGCTGGGGCAGCGGCAGAAGGGGCGGCAGTAGGAGCTGGGGTAGCTACAGCTGGAGCAGGTTCGTTAGAGGACGCGGGACTAGCGGGAAGGGAATCACAGCAGCTGGTAGAGCCTGAGATTGAAGGAGGCTCTGGGAAAGACGAGCAGCTGTGTGGCACACCCTTAAAGGGGAGAACACCCGCGACGCCTGTAGAAGTGTTCTGTCCTCCACTGGAGTCCCTCACCCTCGATAGCATTCAGTTCGCCTCCACTTGCGACCTTACGCTCCCCACCAACAGCAGTACCAGTGTATTCTGTACCCAAAGCGGGTGCAGGTTTGGCATGGTTTGGCACAACACTGATCGGTGGGGCAGCAGGGGTGGACAAGGAAGCAGGGGTGGAAGGGGCAGCAGGGGTGGTAGGGGCAGCAGAGGTGGAAGGGGCAGCAGGGGAGACAGGGCAGTAGCACGGCTCCCCCAGCAGCATCTCTCGCAGACATGCCACCAAATTCACTCCCCCGGGCCACGCTTTCAAATAAGCCGCCTCCTCCCCCTCCTTGCCCGTCCCATCATCTTCTATTCTCCCTTGGTTTCTCCTGTTTCTCCCAGAGCTGTCGCTGCGGCTGCTGCTCCCACTGGCACCATCGGAAGGCCCACAATCATCCTGCATGTCTTCACAGAACCTGGGTATGGCAGCCCTTCTCCACAACTCATGCCCCTTAGCACTCGCAAACCCCTCTCCCTCCTTTCCATCCCAACTGGCTCGCCCCTTGCTGCCCTTGCACCTGTCTCTCATACCTCAGCCTCCAGCTTCATGCCGCCCTGCCATGCAAGCTCCACCGCTAGGCACCACATTTGCACCTCTTCCCACACCCTCCCATCATCTTCCTTTCCGTCTCGCAGCCTGTGTAGGAACTTCAGGTCCGTGATTCCGAGGACGGGGGCAGCCCAGTTTAGAGCCACAGTCAGCAGGAAGAGAACAGGAAGCTGTTCCATTCGAGCCTGCACCGCAGGCGATCTTAGATAGCCAGGCGCATTGGCAGCGAGAGGCACACCCATACAAGCAGCGAGTCATTCGAATTCGGGAGGGAGGGGAGAGAAGATGGATACAAAGCGGTTGAAAAGGGTGGTGACAGGTCGG